CGCTCTCCCCACCAGGTCCCCCAGCCCCCCACCCAATCTCCACTCTGATCCCCAGGGAGGGTGAGGCCCTCCATGGTGGATATCCAGTGACTGTCATTTCATCCAGGGCAGGGCCTAGGCCCCCCCCCAAGAGTTCTGGCTGAGAGAGCCTCCCATATTGTGGCATAGGCACTCAAAGTCTATTTGTACGCCAGCCAACCCAGACTATTATACCAGCAAAGTTTTCAATGACAACAGGGGGAGAAAGAAAAATGTTCCATAATAAAACCAAATTTAAGCCATATCTATGTACTGATCTGGTTTTACAGAGGCACTAGAAGGAAAACTTCATCCAAGAAAACATAAGCAATAAATAATCTCAGACAAGTAAATCAAAAGAGGGGGAAAGCCACATGCCACCACAAGAAAATAACAAGAATCAACAAGCACTGATTATTGATATCTCTCAATATCAATGTTCTCAATTCCCACGATAAAAAGGCACAGACTAACAGATCCACCCTCCTGATGTACCCAAGAAATACACCTTAACATCAAGGGTAGACATCATTCCTTGGAAAAAAGATGGGAAAATGTTACATGACAAAAGGCTCAATAAGAAAGCTGGTATAGCCATTTTAATATCTGAAAAAAAAATAGACTTCAAACCAAAACCCTTCAGAAAAGATAGGGTAGGACACTACATATTCATCAAAGGGAAAAATCCACCAAGAGTATATTGTGCTTCTAAAAATCTGTGCAACAAACAGAAGGCCACCTAAATTCATAAATGAAACACTATTAAAGTTAAAAGCACACAATGACCCTTATAATGTGATAGTGGATGACTTCAATACTTTACTCTTGCCAATAGACAATTCATCCAGACAAAAACAAAATAGAGAAATGCTGGGGCTAACTGACCATATAAACCAAATGGACCTAACATATTTACAGGAAATTTCACCCAGACACAATATACCTCCTTCTCAGAAGTTTGTGAAACTTTCTCCAAAATTAACTATATACTGGGACATAGAGCGAGTCGCAACAGAGAGATACACGTCAAATCAAGTGAAATGGAGAGAACTGAAAACAATTGCACTAAAACCAGGAACAAGATGAGGTTGTTTACTCTCTCCGTACAGACATTCTTCTATACTCACAGATCAGTGTCTCCTCAGCCATCACCAGAGAAGCTTCCTTCTGCAACAGATGGGAACAAAAACAGAGACCCACAGCAATGTGCGGAGAGTGAGAGACCTTGGAACACTCAGCTCTAAATGAGCTATCTCCATCAAATTGCTCCCTTCTGAGTTCAGTGGACCCTGTTGAAGAGGGAGTGGAAAGACTGTAAAGCCAGAGGGGGTGAGGGATACCAAGGAAAGAGGGCATTGCAAACACAGCAGCCTGGCACACATGCGAACTCACAGGGATTGCAGCAGGTGTGCACAGGGCTTTCAAGAGTCTAAGCCAGATGTGGTTCCGTCTCTGAGAGGGCAAGTGGGCACAAGGCCCAACCATAACTCAGAAGCTTTCTCCAATTGATAATGATTTGCCAAGGTTTTTTTCCAATGGAGTCTCACTGGGGATACTAGACAATCTTAAGGGCAGATCCCATGCCCAGCAGTAGATGATGAATATAAAATGAACTCAATGGCATCCTTGGAGGTTCTTTGCCGTATAATGTTTTGTCAGGACATTTTTATATTATTTTATTCCCTTACAGGTAAAAATATTATGACTTTCCCATTTGTGTTTTTGTGGGATTCCTGATATGAACATCTGTGGGCTCCCTGGGCTGCTTCTTTGCCTCTTTTCCCTTGCTTGTTTGTTCTTATTTTATCTTACTATTTTTAGATGCCTTTTTTTCTAATGACACAGGGAAAAAAGTATGTGGATTTGGGCATATTGGAAGGGGAGGACGATCTATTGGGAACTGGGGAAGTAAAAGCTATAATCAGAATATATTGTATGAAAACAAATCTATTTTCAATAAAACACCTACAGAAAAAAAATATAAGAAGGAACAAGAAGAACTTAACTCAGCTAGGCAGTGTGGTGCATGCCTTTAATCCCAGCACTTTGGAGGCAGAGGCAGGTGGATCTCTGTGAGTTCAAGGCCTGCCTGGTCTACAAAGTGAGTTTCTGGACAGCCAGAGCTGTTACACAGAGAAACCCTGTCTTGAAACAAACAAACAAACAAACAACCCAGAAAACAAAACAAAAAAAGAGAACTTAACTCTAGTTATTTCCACTTCAGTTTTCTAAGAAAACAGAGCTTGGCCAAAGACTGTAATACAACACCCTGGTGTAGACATGAAGGACACAGGAAGTGAGACCAGGAATGACAAAGCTGTTTGAAGTACCAGGTACCATCACCACTTGATTTCAGGGGTGAAATAAATGGTTTCTTGGGGCTGACCATTGGAGGAGATGGTGAAGAATCTGTGTGTGGTCTTGTTTCTCTTGCTCAAAGTTTTGCTTGAGGTACAATTCAGTTAGTACTTGTGTGCAGCAAACAGTAGAGGGTGCAGGCAAGCTGTGCTACAAACCTGCTCTCCAGTCACTTCTCTCTGGCTGACAAATGGTTTATCTACTTTGTGAATCCGTCTTAGATGTTGGAGACAGGAGAGTTCATTGTCACATGTCTCTTACTGAGTTGACAGAGCTTTTCCGCATTGTTAAACTAGCATATATTAATTACACATGACTATGTCATGCATGTACATGATGTATTTTGATCATATTCTCCCCTATTACCCTCTCTTGTTCCTCTCTCATTCCTGCTACTCTCCCCCCTCTTTTCAGGTATTCCTTCTACTTTTATATCTTCAGTGTGTGTGTGTGTGTGTGTGTGTGTGTGTGTGTGTGTGTGTGTGTGTGTCCTAGAGCAAACCAAATAATGCTGGTCTAAAAACAGAATGTAGAGATAAATTACTATTGTTGACGTTCTGCTGTACTTATAGATCAGTGAGTGCCTTGCTCAGCCATCAGCAGAGAGGCTCCTCCTGCAGCAGATGGGAAGAAATACAGAGACCCACAGCCAGACATTACACAGAGAGTGAGAGATCTTGGAACATTCAACACTAAGTGGAATGTCTCTATGACATCCCTCCTCTCAGACTTCCAGGAACCTCATAGAAAAGGAGGTGAAAATTGTATAAGAGCCAGAGGGGTTGGAGGCCACCAAGAAAACAAGACCATCTAAATCAATAGCATCGGCATACAAATGAACTCACGGAGACTGAGGTAGTGTGCAAAAGGGCTGCGTGGATCTGCACAAGATGGGGTCTGAGAAAGAAAGAAGTGAACACATGCTCCCTTCTCTAACCCAGAAGCTCTGTCAAATGATAACCACTTGTAAATGAAAATTTCGTTTCCTGCCAGGGAGTCTAACTGGGGAAACAAACTACTCTTAAGGGGAGGCTTTGTGCCTAGCAGTAGAGTCAACAAAAAACGAACTCAACAGCCTCTTCAGGGGGTTCTTTGTCTCATAATGTCACATCAGGGCTCTCTCTCTTTTTTTTTGGTTTTATCTTATTTTAAACATTCATTACACACACACCCACACCCCCACACACACAATCCCATTTCTTCTCTTTTTACCTTACTTTTGCATATATATTATTGCTTCCAATACAGTGTTTTCTTGGATTTCCTGAGTGTGCAAACAGGTGTCTGTTTCTTGTGCCTTCCTTGTGCTCTTTTCCTTCTATTTGTTTCTTTCATTCAATTTTGGTGTATTAGTTTTTGTCATATCATATCATATCATATCATATCGTACCATCATCATCCCTGAGAAGCCTGTGTGATTCCTAATGAGGGAGAGAAAAGGGGAGGATTCAGGAGGGATGGAGAGGTGGTGGGGGAACTGAGAGGAGTAGAGGGAGGGGAAATCATAATCAGGATTTATAATGTGAGAAGAAAATTGATTTTCAATAAAAGGGCAAAATATAGACATCTCTTGGGGAAGAGAGCATCGTTATCCTTAACCTAATCTCAACTACTAATATTGACTTTTTTCCTGGAGAATTTTGTGTCAACTTGACACAAGCTAGAGCCACCTGAGAGGAGGGAGCCTCAATTGAGAAAGTCTCCATTAGATCAGGCTGTAGGCAAGCCTGTAAGGCATTTTCTTAATTAGTGACTGATGGAGGAGGGTCCAGCCCCTTGTGGGTGGTGCCACCCTGGGCATGTGGTCCTGGGTTCTATAGGAAAGCAGACTGAGCAAGCCACGAGTAACAAGCCAGTAAGCAAGAAGCACCCTCCACGGTCTCTGCATCAGCTCCTGCCTCCAGGTTTCTGCCCCGTTTGAGTTCTTGTTCTGACTTCCCTCAGCGATGAACAATGATATGGAAGTATAAGCTGCAGATTTAAGATTCCATGGCTATGCTTAGCTGGGGGTGAAGAATCAGCTGTGATTAACAGGACTGCAGAACTACTAAACTGAAACCTTTGCTATGCTGGGAGATTTGATGTTGGTCAGCTGGAGCTGAGAAATCCTTTCCTCCCCTACTTGCTTTTTGGTCATGGTGTTTTACCAAAACAATGGAAACCCTAACTAAAACAAATTGGTACCAGCACCTTGGGGTACTGCTGTGACAGACCTGGCTATGCTGCTTTCGGGAGGATTGTGAAAGGGCTTTGGAACTTGGTGCAAGAAAAGTCATTGAGTGTTCAACGCTTAGTGAGCTGTTCTATAGGAGCTTGGAAGTTAAGAGTGTTGAAGGCAATGTAGAAGATGGAGGCCTGCCTTGTGAAGTTTCAGAGGGAACTTTAAAGACTCCTTCAGGGCCATTTTTATATGAATTAAGATTCCATGGTTATGCTTAGCTGGGAATGAAGAATCAGCTGTGATTAACAAGACAACAGAACTACTGATGTGAAACCTTTGCTATGCTGGGAGACTTGATGCTGGTCAGCTGGAGCTGAGGCATCAGCAGTGATTAAGAAGAGCAGCGCATGACTTTAATCCCAGCACTTGGGAGACAGAGGCAGGCGGATCTCTGTGAGTTTGAGGCCAGTCTGGTCTACAAGAGCTAGTTCCAGGACAGGTTACAAAACCATAGAGAAACCCTGTCTCAAATAAAAAAAAAGAAGAGAACAGCTTCTGGAAAGAAGAGAACTCTTCTGGAAAGTGTTTCCTGAGAGCACACAGGAACTATGTTGTGGAGGTTGCGAAGGTTGTACCTTGTGCTAGCAGCCAAACTTGGCAGTGTAAGGGTCACCCAGGTGGTACTGGTTTTGAAGGCATGAAGGGGTCATGGAGAGCAGCTGAGGCTTCACACTGTGAGAGGCCAGGAGAGCCCATTGGTGAAGGTGCAACCTCAGCCACAGTTGAAGGCCCAGGATTGAAAGGGTCATGCTGAGAAGCTGAGGCTTGGCACCATGAAGAGAGGTTACTAGTGAGAGTGCAGCCCAGTTGCAGCAGAAGACCCTAGTGTTTTGGAGATGCCAGTACCACGGGGTGACCACCAAGAGTAGCAGTGGAATGGAGTCGGCAGACAAGCTGTGTGTGCTGCAGAAGACGGAGCCAGAGAAGTGACCCAACCCCATTGGAGGAGCCCAGAAGATTGTGAGTGAATCCCAGACACTGGGCATTGAGTTATTTATTCTGTTGGAGTTTGGCTTTCCTTTATTCATAATGTGACTGTGCCCTGGTTCTTCCCTCTTGAAGTAAGAAAGTACTTAATTTATTTTTGATTTTACAGAAGTCCACAGTGGACTTACTTTAAACTTAGACACACACTCACACACAGAGAGACACAGAGAGACACAGAGAGAGATTGGAGTTTTACAGGTAATTTGGATGTTAAGAGAGAATGGATATTTTTAAAGTGATGATTTTTAAAGTATATTAATTTGTAAGGCTGTGGGGCTCAAGTTTGTAAAATTTTTTATATTATGATGTCTTTGTTAATGTGTAATCTTGGGGATGTACAAGAAAAGGAACCGGTGTGGTTTAACGGTGATGTGTTTATTTGTCAAGTTGACAAGGGGTCAGCTGGTCTTGGCTAGTTTTATGTCATCTTGTCACAAGCTTGAGTCATCTGAGAGGAGGGATCCTCAATTGGGAATGTCAGCATAAGATCATGTTATAGGCAAACCTGTGGGGCATTTTCTTAGTGATTGACGAGGGGAGGGTCCACCCAACCCATTGTGGGTAGTCCTGGTTTCTGTAAGAAAGCAGACTGAGGAAGCCTTGGAGAGCAAATAAGTAAGCAGCACCCTCCATGGCCTCTGTATCAGTTACTACCTCCAGGTTCCTGCCCTGTTAGAGCTCCTGTCCAGACTTCCTTTGATGATGAACAATGATACAGAAGTAAAAGTCAAATAATCCCAGGTCATGGTGTTTTATTGAAGTAATAGAAATCCTAACTAAGACAGCTTTATTTCTTTCCAAGTCATGTGATTAGAAGACTAGTCACTGCTAGATGTGTACTGATGGACCTGCTTGGTTGTTACATGGTACTGGTGGATTTGGGTGTTTTGGAGGAGAGTCCACTTACAAAGATTGTGGTATAAAGTATCTTCCTTTCATTAAAAATAGAATCAGAGATTTTGGGTATAGATAAATGGCATAACACTTGCCTAGTAGGTGGATCCTGGGTCCAAACCAATCACTATAATAACAGTAGTGACAGTAGCAAGAACCTAAGCTCTGCGATCATAGACATCTTTATGCCATGCTTCACAGACCATAGTATTCCTAACATTACTTTAAAGGACATTTCTCACAACTACCTGGAAGACTATGATGAAAATCAGTCTCCTGAGTCAATTATAATAAGGTCAGGGATGTGGACATCTGCACCACGTCTCTATGTCAAAGTTGGGATTATAATAGGAGGGCCTGGCAATCTTGAGCTTGAGATGGGCAGCCTTAATCTGCCTTCACCCCTGCCTTTTCTGGAGTCTGCTTACTGCTAGAGCAGCTACTTGGCCTCTTGCACAGAAAGCACTTGTCCCTTCACCTGTCACACCAGCGTCACACACAGCTTTACATGCATGTGCATCAGGTCACATGTTGGTTTCCTCAAACTCACCACTCACTCTTCTGTCTCAGGTCATAGCCAGGTTCAGGTAATAGCTCAGCCAGAAATAGGAAGTGGAACCAGGTTTTGTTCAAGCAGAATTACGCAAAGGAACTGCAGGGTCTGTCTAATAACCCAAAGGAGCCGAGGAGCACATGCAGGGAGGACCCAAGAGTGCTGCTCCAACCATGAATATAGGCTGGCATGGGGACATTGTTGGTGTGCACCCGCATGGAGAACTTTTTGTTCTTGTAAGACATCTGATGCTTCTGTTAATAGCTTGCTGGAGGAGGCACGGCAGACTAAGTTATAAATAAAGAAGAGATACCAGAATTTCCTTGGCCTAGAAAGTGGTCAAATGCTTTAGAGAGCCTCTGGAATTTTGAAATGGTTAGATACCTTGGCAGAGAAGCTGCTATGTGACCATGACCCTCAGCTAGGTTGACATCTTTGCTTATTGAAGCCTAGAGTTACTTCTAGATTAATGAACTTGAGACACGGGGCAATGGGAAGCTTAATTCAATTAATCATAAGTTATTTAATAAATATTCAATAAGACCCATTATAGGCCCATCAATATGAGAAGACACTTAGGACCCTTGATTTAAGGTGTTCTTAATCTAGGATAGAAGACAGACCAGCCTTCGGGAAAATGATGTTTTGCTGGCAAGGTCACTGAGCAGTGAAGTCTTCCAACACGGGTGCAATGTTGTCTGCACTTCATGATATATGCTGCTGTTCCTATAGAGCAAAGTGACATGATACAGGCACAAAAATAAGTGCATACTCATGCATGGACCTGAAGCCTTTAAAACACGAAGGAGAGAAATACATAGATTCAGAAGGCTCTGTCTACATATAATTGTGGAATCTCTTTGTCTTTGGAGATTTGTGTTGGGAGGCCATGCAATCATTTTTAAGAAGTAACTGAAAGCACATATACTTGAATGTGAATTTCTCATTTAGATACAAGCTTAGAGGGATATGCTTCAGGGGGAAACCTCATTAAATCTCTGCACTTTGCATTTTGAAATTAACACAAAGGTTTATGAATTGGAGGCAGAGGAAGAAAGATGAATTTCTGCCTTACTTCATTTCATTTGCCATGCAGATATTATTGGTGTTTTTAAAGCTGGGAGAACTAAGTTTTTTGGTCATTTAAGCTCCCTATATAATTAATAGATACTTTTTCTGGTGCATCAACTTCACCCCCATCCCATTGTTTTGCGACATGCAGATCTAAGAAAGCACCACAGGAGTAGTTAAACGAGGTAATCAATCTGTAAGATGTGCTCATCTTGATGATTTTTATGACAATTTTTAAAACATTATTAAAAAGGCAAATGTCATGAAAATTGTTTTGGAACAATTAATTAAAGCTGCTCTGGTGCCCAGGGGTGATCTATAAACATTTGGGTGCCTATTGTAGGAAAGGCAAGCTTACAACATGGAAAAGCAGCCATTTCCTTTATCAAACAAGTGCATTCTGCTTGCTTATGTGAGAGGAATGCTTATTGATTGATTAAACATAATTAAATAGAGAGATGCATTAGGAATGTTGAACTTGGGGCACCTGGCGTTGACTTGTACTGATATTGTTTTGGTAAATAACATGAAAACATGATTTTTTCATTATAAATGTAATATTCCATACTCATATATGTATCTGTTTTAATAAAAAGAGTTGCTTATAATTACATGGCAAGTAATAAAAAGTTAAAATGTTACTATCTGATATTCTGGCCTTTGTCTGCAGTTGTTTTATTAAGTAGACTTAAAGAAGAATCTTGGCTTTTCATTTTGAACCAGGGTCTCAGGTCTTGAGGCAAACTCTACTGCTGAGCTGTATATGTATTGCTGAGTTATAATTTGTTTTTCACTCAACATCTTAAGGAATTCTGCTATTTCTTTCTCCCCTGCATCTTAACAACATCTCTGACCTTTATAGTTTTTCTGTTTCCCCTCTGTTATGCATAGTTACTTCCTGTGATAAACTTGATTACGCCATGGACATTGGAAAAAGTTTAAAAGCCAAGCCCTGCCCATAAATTGCTAAGTCATTCAGTGTGTGGCATTCCCCCACTCCTGGGGGGGTGGCAAGGAAAACTTGCTGAGAATTCTGGAACATAAAAATGCTGCCTCCTCCAACCCACAGAAGGGGAAAAAATATTCACTAATCCCACATCTGACAGAGGGTTGATCTCCAAAATTTACAAAGAACTCAAGAAGCAAGTCTCCAAAACATCAAAGGACCCAATTAAAAAGTGGGCTGCAGAACTAAATAGAGAGTTTTCAATAGAGGAGTCTAAAATGGCTGAGAGGCACTTGAGAAAGTGCTCAACATCTTTAGCCATCCGGGAAATGCAAATCAAAACAACTCTGAGATACCATCTCACTCCTGTCAGAATGGCTAAAATCAAAAACACCAATGACAATTTATGCTGGAGAGGATGTGGTGAAAGGGGGACACTCCTCCATTGCTGGTGGGAGTGCCAACTAGTTCAGCCACTTTGGAAATCAGTATGGTGATTCCTCAGAAAAATGGGAATAAACCTACCACAAGACCCAGCAACTCCACTCTTAGGCATATATCCAAAAGATGCCCATTCATACAACAAAGATGTCTGTTCCACTATGTTCATAGCAGCTTTATTTGTAATAGCCAGAACTTGGAAGCAACCTAGATGTCCCTCAACCGAAGAGTGGATAGAGAAAATGTGGTACATCTACACAATGGAGTACTATTCAGCAGAAAAAAGTAATGGAATCATGAGATTCGCAGGCAAATGGATGACACTAGAAGAAACCACCCTGAGTGAGGTAACCCAGTCACAAAAAGAGAAACATGGCATGTACTCTCTCATATATGGATTTTAGACATAGATCTGGGGAGTACCAGCCTACAATCCTATGGCCAGAGAGTCTGGGAAACAGAAACTTCATTTAGTGGCTGATCGAAGAAGAGGCAGACTCCCTTGGTTAAGTCCTGAGCTGAACTCAAGAAAGCCAGTAACAGAGAGGGAGGACTGATGATCAAAGGGATTAAGACTGGGCTGGTTTAACCCCCAGAAACAGCTGACCAGACAAAGGTTAACTCTTGAATCCCAGGCATCAGCCTGGGAATCCAGCATGGGACTGATCAAGACCCCCTGAATCTGGGTGTCAGTGAGGAGGCCTAGGGAATCTATTGAGCCTTGGGCAGCAGATCAGTACCCATCCCAAGTATACACACGGACTTTGGACTCCCATAGAACAATGTGAGGTGCACTCTCACCCTGAACTCTTGAGGAAGGGTCTAGGCCAAATTCAGCAGGGGGCTGAGTGGATGTGGCACAAAAACAACACTGTTAGGGTTGGAGTGTAGAATGTTCCCAAAGGCTCATGGGTTTGAATACTTGATTCCCAGCTGGCAGCAATGTTAGGGGCGGTTGTGGAACCTGTAAGAGGTAAGGCCTACCTAGTAGAGTCTGGTCTCCAGGTAAGGGTATAGCCCAGCCCTGTTCCCATTGAGTAACCATTTTTCCCCTAGTAGAATTTTATT